TAACAAGTTAAACTTCCTACACAAGAGAAACAGAAAACTCCATATACAAATATGTTTTATGTGAAATCTTTAAGACTTAGTGCAAGAGCACACATGGGTGGCTACAGGTAAACGATAGTGAAAATGTTGTCTTTTATTAGTACTTTTACATCATATCTGTAAACAGTCAAACTGGAACAGAGCAGATGCGAATTCTCCTAACCATAAGGAAGAAAGGAGAGCAACGTAACTCATGTTTCTGCCAGTAAACAAATTAAATATATGCTGAACATCTCATGAATATTTCCGTTTTGTTCACAAATTACGCATGCTATCATATTCACGAAATATTTAAAATGACATTGTTTAAATTTTGTTTCATATTGTTTGAATGTACACACGGGAATTGTGAGTATTTAAAATTTGGAAATTTAAATTTTCATAAGATTACACATTGAGATGCAAGCCAGTAAATACTGGAGTGGTGCATTTCATTGAAAAAATATATGGAAATGAAACTTACCAGCGTGGAGGATATGCGAAAATAGTAAATAAGCTTGAAACTGCAAATCCTGTGGATTAGCTGGAATAAATACGGAAATAAATACTTCATATAAAACGACGTGTGTGCATCGGAAATTCAGTGTAACTTGAAATATGTATTCGCAAACATAAACACAGTTCTCCTAATTCATTTTCAGTGACATTGTGATGTTTCAAAAGTGTCGAAGATTTATGCACTTCACATAGGAAAAGATATCACCATAAGATTTACAATGGATAAACACACGTGAGGTGATTTTGGAAATGTGCTTAACCGTTGTTTATCGAATTCTTGAAACGATCACTTACCGCAGTGTTTGGCTTACAAACTATGATGATAACGTCGAGTTGACCAATATGGTTGTCGCACATAGGATGAGAATGTACTATTCTCCTTCATGATTGGTGTCAGTATTTGCATCCAATATTGAATTGGATAATGACCCGATATAAGCAGTATACTTTATATTTCGTCTAATGCAATATGTAACTCACAGTTTTCTATGATTATCCCATATACACGATAAAAACGTTCTCCGCTGTAGTTTTCAGAATTTTTTGAATGTGGCTTCTGCGTATTTGACACTTCGTATTCGTAAAGAAGGCGTCTTATTCCTCCGCCTGAGTGATCAAACGACTAGAAGTTAGAAATTATTTCACAGTAGTCTCAATGAAATAAAGTCGTAATAAACGAAAACTTGGATCCGTATCAAAGCTCGTTTACATACGCTAACACAGGTGTTTGATAAAATGAAACGATGATTAGAGGGAAAGTTTTTGACGGAAGGGTAGGAATCGAGTTGGGTGATGAGGTTGCATAAAACTGATACAACACAAAAATGCAGCTGTCGGAGTTACTTGAGAATGTTTCCACCACAAAATATTTATTGTCCATGATCACTGGTGTAATTACATCCGAAAGATATTTGAAATAAATTAATTTGTCAAAGTGTGATTGTGCTAACCTGACTCCAATAGTGAGCTTACCACTACAAACACGATCGCTGAAAGAGTCAGCATCATTGATGTGCAATATCTAATCTGGACGCTTTCTTGTCGAGTGGTATCAGTTTCATGTACTTGACTATTATATACCTTCAAAAATATTTCACGTGTTTGTCAATGTTCTATAGCTGATAAGAATAATGGCACTTCACACATCTTAAGTGATGTGGAATAAGAAAAATTATCAAAATTCGTTTGTGTATGGTATGTAATTTAAGGAGAACTAAAAGTCTTTTCCCTTATCAAATTTTGACTAAGATTGCTAGGAAATACTGAAACTGAAAACAGTTGAAGGCTGTTTAGGCTGTGAATATAATGTGAAATGAAAGCTATCTGAAACAAGTGATGAACCTGCCTTACATGCTGTTTTGTCAGTAGATGTCCTCAAATGAGCCCTGATTATTTCGTTAGGGAATATTGGATTTGTGAAGACAGAATACGAGTTTTGTGAAGAAGAGGTTCTTTCCAGTGATTTCCTTTTTCCAGCTGTGAAATTGCATTTGCGCACAACATTTTCACAAGAGCAGAAAGTAACAAAAGTGGTGAATTGTCATAATCAAAATCGCAAATTACTGATCAGTATGAAAATGAAGTTTAAGAAGGGTTTGTTTTAATACGCATAATTTGATGAGTGAGTTATATTCAGGATGCACATAGAAACGATGGAAATTGTGAGAATACGTAGGATTTTGAAATGCAAAAGAGGTGGAGAGAGTAAAATAATTAGGTTGGATGAAACGACTTGTCTATCTGAATGTTCATAGCTTCAGAAATCCAACAGAGATGTAGGCTAATTTCGTGAGGTAGCTGTTCACTTTACAGGTAACTTTGAAGGAGTTGTTCGTTGTGATAGAATGGTCAGTGTCGACAAAGTGTAAAACTCTTATATTTCTTATATACCAACTGCTACCCTTGTGCACTGGTGCCAGTTTGTGTTTTCGAACCCTGTCAGACTAAATACGTAATGAACAACCGTTGTGACTGATGCTACAGAAATAATTGAGTTGGTTAATGCACATAAAAGTGGTCAGAAAGGAAGCTTGAAAGACAAGGTCTCGTAGCGACTCAATCTCTGAATGTGCATATGAGTTAGATTATTACAAGTTCACATTGGATCCAGTGTCTACTGAACATCCGTCACTCACTTCATGTTCATTCAAATGAGCGATTACGTATTCTTCCTTTATAAAAACTAGAGAGTAGTATCTGTCTAAGTAAATGTAATTATTTGGTATTGTACATGACATCAATGTGTCTCACGCATATTACAAGTGAACGAGCTAATGAATTATAATACATTGTGCTTTCAGTAATTATTATAGTTTAAGCACTAAGAATCAACAGTTACTGTCTGACATTTCAAACCTTGATGAGATGATTAGGCACGTCGTTTCTAATTTATGTTTTCATAATCATGACAACTTCCGGTTCTGTATACCCACTCTTCAATCACTCACTAGTAAATATTCAATTCATCTCCTACCACATGCACAGCTTCACAATTACTGAATGTCCTTTGATTATGTGACTAACAGAAAGCAACCTTATCACAAAATCATCATCTGAACTTCACATTTCATCAAACGTCGGTGACAGTCAATCTGTGTTGTTAATGAAACACTGGTGGTGAGCTTATCGTGTGATTTTGTCATCAGTGCTTTCTATTTACCGTTTCGATCTGTACTTACACCTGAACATCGAAATCCAACAAGGTTGTTTTGAATCCATTTACTCGAATATGCGCAATTTATTCATGTAAAAATCTATTTAAAGTTTCTACCTTCTCACGTTTTCCTATTTTGATGCATAATTTGATTGGAACGCGCTTCGAATGGAAGGGGGTTTACTGTACATGATGTATTTTCGATAAGTATTCTACATCTAAATTCGCAACCAAACCATGAGTACAACTAATCATTTGATAAAAAAGTGGATTTATCGAATCACACACGGAACTGGTATTCACACTAATTTCGTTAAAAATTAGGGTTTTTAAAATGTAAAATATGTATATGGCATATAATGTCACTGTGAAACCGAATTTTTGAATTTCTTACGAATACAAATATGCGTTACATTCGATTGATGTTAATGTCTATGAAAATTGTCACCCACCAAATGAACATTTATTTTCTCACAAATTTATATTTAATCTCTGACTTGGAAACGAAAACCAAAAAACTGAAGAGTAATACACAATCGCTACTCATTGAATGTTACAGTTGACCGAAATCGATTCAATAGAGGTTTTGAAAATATTTTGTGATGATGAAAATAAAGAGGGTGAAACAAATCAGCTTGAGATTCAATGTGATCTGTGTTGTTGAATTGCAGAGTTCAGATTCACAGCAGTACATTTCAACATTTGGAATAGTAGGGAGATTTTTACAAGAATCTGCGCATGCTCTTGTAACTACTTCCACTGGTTTCGTCATAACAGCTTTCTGCAAGGAGAGAAATAATAACATGCAAATTAGTTCTAAGATGTGAACTCACTTATTGGAATATCATAAATATTTACAGACGTTTGTCCCTAAGTGAGATGAAAGTGACATTCGAAATTATTTTCCAGTGAACACGTGATAGCGATGGTTGATAGGAAATAAGTGAGTTGATGAATAATCATTCATGACAGTAAAACGTTTGAGCCTTGATCAAATAATATTTACTTATATTTTTATAGAATACTTTATTATTTTAATCATTCACTTATTCAGATTATTTCACTGGAAGATATAGATTTATATTACTTATTAAACTACTATTTCTGACGTCAACTTATTTGTCAATGAATTCGAGGAAAGTGTGTATGTTCTGGTGCATTCTATTAATAACTGACGGAAAGTGACTGGATCGGTTATTGGGTGATACGAAGCGCTTTTAGAAATCTTCCTCTTTCTCCACAGTTACATCACACCCATAATACTCCCTCATGTCAATGAACAAGTCTGTACATCAGCATTACCCAGACTATAACTAGGATTAGATGCAGAAGTGGTTGACGAATTCACACCTCATCTGATTCTTCGGAAAACAGGTTTTCGAAAGTAAGCAAGTCTGAGAATATGAGTAGTTTACAAAATGTACATCATATGACCACTCCGTGGAATTTACCATAGTCAAAAGAGGTTGTTTTCCACTCTAGACTGTGACATTACAGCTATCTATTCTGTGTGGAAACACGCATGACTCTGGATAGAACAAGTATGAGTGAGTGAAGGAGGACACTGTTACCATCAGGTAGTATCTGATGATGTCAAGTTACACAGTGAACAAGTGAAATAGTTTCCTGACTGAAGTCATCTAAGATGGATGCATTCAAATACCATCGAAATGGAAATTTCAGTGTGTGATAGATCGTTGAATCTCTTGTGTTTAATAGGTAGATGTTGTGATGAACTTCAAAATAACTAAGACAAATACATGAGTGTCATATGAAAGTTGTGTTATAAATGGGAATGTATAAATCTTACAATGCAAGCTCCACAGTTCTGTTTTTTCTGGGTGCTTCTGTCCACTTTATCACAGTTGGCACATTCATAACATTGTATCTTTCCTGTGTAGTAGAAAAGGTTAAATTTCTCATTGTGAATTATTTCTATGCAAAATTTGTAACAATAATTAAGACCAGATTGAAGATGTGCTATTACTGATAATACATACCGAAATCCCTGTCTTTATTATTGATTTCATGTTATGTTGATGATGTATGCAACATGAATGGAGAATATACGAGGGGTGTTGTGTTTACAGGTAGGGAAGAAGGAGCATAAATAATTGAGCGATGTCAATGTTCACCTGAATGATTTTCAAAGTTATCACGGTATTTATTCTGAGACAATGGCCTATTGTATCTGTAATTTCCGCCTTAAATAACAACGTCTGATTCATATTTCCCCATTACACACAGCAAAATATTCAGTTTACTATCTATATCTCAACTTTTTCCACTCGCGTTTACACGATCGCCTTCAAATTGTTCATTTCAATCCTGCTCCTAAAGTAATCCTGCTGTATGCACATTGGGAATTCGAATAATTCATTCACTCCTAACATCCACTTATGGTAATTCGATTTCAAAGTAAGATGTCAGCAAGTTAGAAGTGAATTCGAAAAATTAATTAAATAATGATGAAAACAGAAGTTACCGAAAGGGATGATTTTTGACAGGAACATTTTCAGTTGGGTTTCAACACTCTCATCACTAGCTGAAACTAAAATCAAGTAATAATAAATATAAAATTTATGAGAATTTCTTCCAGAAATCAGTAAAAGTTGAAATAGTTAACGTACACTCACACTTAACAGTGTTTGACTCATTTGTGATTCCCACTTTAATGTTAGAAAGCTTCTCGAAATCTATCGCTTCTGTTGATGGGATTCATTGCTCTTGCATTATAAAGTACATTACTATCATATTCAAAACACAGAATGTCTACCATGTCTTCGAAAGTAAGCATGTTTCTCGTCTATCGAATTCATTGAATAACCATTTACTTGAAAGTTGGGTTTAAAAACGTTGGTGAGAAGCTGAAATCAATGAATATGGTGGTGATATAGACTTTCTGCGTACTATTTTCATTTATCATCCAATATCAACATTGCATGTGTTATTACTACGGTGAATAACAAATATTGAATAATCCATTTTGAACTGCATATTGTGGGGATATATAACCCTCGTGGAACACAGGATATAACAAACATTACACATGGAATGATTACATTTAATAAATACTATGGAAAACATCACTGAATGTGTCTTCTACATATTTGGCATATCTATCTTCATCGCATTTCAACAATTGAATTAAACATCTATGGATTCTATGCCACTGTTTTCCGTGTGTTCGACAGTGATTAGAAATAATGATCACTCTATACTGGTTAACATGATACAGATTCCTTACACAATCCTTATTCTATATACAAAAGTATTGAAATGATGCATTTTGAAATACATTTTCTGACCATAAATAACTCTCAACCAACACAAGATATTGCAAACGTGTTTCTATGCACATTTCGCATGCACTGAACTAGGTCCTGTTGAGATATTTACACAGTATACAGTGTGAATCTTCTACATATTCACCGCTTTGTGTTCGTTGCATTTCACCAATCGACACACATGGCGAATGGAGCCATCTGACTGATTCCTATTCCTAATGAAATGATTTCGAGTAGAACTGATTTTATACTGCCTTGGTGTCCTCCAAAAAATGTGGTTAAGTTACATGGATGATACCTTCGTCATAATCAGAAATAGTTTGTTGAATGAACGTTTTCACTTAATAAACAATATGTCAGAAACCATCAAGTTTTCCAAAATGTTTGAATCCGAAGAGAATGATTTTTCGTTCCTTGACTGTTGATTACAAAGAAAACTAAATTGTAAATTTAAAATAAATATTTTCAGAAAGCCGACAATTTCGGACAGACACCTAGACTACTACTCAGCACACCCCTTTACTACCGAAGTAACTGTTGCCAAGAATCTGACTAACACAGCCAAAAGTCTAGTTACTGAGGAGGAAGAGGTTAGCAAGGAATTAGATTTTATCAATCTAATCGTGAATCATATAATTATCCAAAACTTTAAAAAAAAAATATTGTAAATGTGAAGATAAAGATGGAACGAAAGCTGTTGCTAAGATCTGGATTAGTACAGTGGTGATTACTTACTGCAAAGAAACATCCGATGAGATAAAGCGAATCCTTAACGATAATAACACAAGAGTGTATTTTCGTGCAACTGACATTTTATGCTCTTCACTGATGAAGAATAAGGATAAAGTACAAGAAATCCAAGAGAAATGTGTGTATCAGATCAATTGTGGTAATTGTGGCGCCGTATATGTAGGGGAAACTTCCAGACAGGCAAATATAAGAGTGAAAGAGGATAAACAACGTCTAAAGGTGATTCGAAAGACCTCTGGAGACTTAAAGGAACTAGGAAAGAGATCAGTGATTGCACTGCATTCAACAGAAACGGGCCACAAAATCGACTTTGATAGGACTAAAGTTCCAAAGAAAAGATTTGCATTCTCTACATATTCCCATTTTTAATATTAGATTAAGACATATGAGCGAGCAATATTGTTTTCAATTAGATCTTCTTCAGGCTTTACTCTTATTTACATAGATTTATATATAAAAAAGTTTAATGATGCACATCCATCGCTCATCTTCACTTTTGAAGGAGAACATGATGGTAGACTACATTTCCTTGACGTCCAAATGAACAGAAGAGAGGATGGTTCACTCAAGACAGATGTCTATGGAAAACCTACATCTATAGGACAATATACACATTCCCTCAGTTTCGTACCAATCTGATACAAAGTCAATTTGGTCAGACGCCTCATGAATAGAGCAAGACGTATCTGTACACATGACTCCCTATAAAATGAGTTAGGATACATCAAAAATATGCTGGTCCAAATGGGTTATCTTAGTAGATTTGTAAGGAGACACATGAACACTAGGTACAATAAAGAGAAACTGACAAGATTTACAAAGAAACAACTGTTCATTAAACTGCAATTTTATGGGGACGTGTCTAGCGAAGTCTTACATCTTAGATTATCGAGAGCGATAAAACGAACTTATACTACCACCACCCTTAGTTGGTCATTTTCCAGTCGACCAACTTTGATTGCTCAAGCGAAAGACAAACTACCTAGCTGTGCCACTTCTGTGTGGATCTATAAGTTTTATTTTGGCTGATTTGATTGATAGTAGTCACCAAGTGGACAAAAATAGTGCATTCAAAGTTATCTATCGCATTCCATCGAGCCTTTCGAACGGAATCAGAACCTGTCTGTTACACTTAGCCGAATCTATGGGAATTCAAGAGAACAATCCTAGTCTTTGTATACAAAAGAAGTTTGTTCTACCTTTGTCTCTCCGTTGGCCTCGGTGAATTCCACTCACATCCCTCCCACCTCTTCTTATTTTCCATTTCCTTCGTACTTTTATTATATTTGTTTAAACTCTGATTATCTGTCCACTTCATCTTTAGTATAACGTAACTTCCAAGATTTGACCTAATTTATTTATTAATTGAATTGTCTACATATACACATATATACTGACTTTGTTATTCTTATCACCTGCATAAACCTTATTATCAATATTTTGTTATCATTATAATCATCGTTATTAACTACGTTCAAAACATTTACCACATTATTACTATTATTTTATCCACAAAATCACCGTCATTGGTTAAAATTTTATATATAAATCTATGTAAATTAGAGTAAAGTCTGAAGAAAGGTTTTAGTTCGTAGAACGAAAGGCTAACTGTGGAAGCCCTACATATGTGGGTGAATCTCAACAGTTTGAACAGACATGAAGGTATGATGTTAGTTGATGCATGGCAAATCCTGACTAATAAATAGAACAACGGTTATGTGTCAATAATTAATCATAGCTGGTCGAAATTCCCGATTGTGTATATCTTCTTATGGAGAGGCTAACAAATGCACATATACACACTATTTTATACTGCATTAAAACTTAATTTTCATTTTATGTTATCTACGACCATGAACTTTTAGTTTAACGTGATGTGATAAAATGTACACTCTGAAAATTCAATTAAAATATTATGACCCGTTGGACAAGAAGTGACTCTTGTGGTCAAAGTGGTCTAGTGGATAACGCTTTGACGTTTGAAACTATGGGCTCTAGGTTCGAGCCTCGATCGCAACATCATCACTCACTGGGAAATGTTGGTACATCCAGATGACGAGTCCCAAACAGGACGAAATGCTCATCCTGGATTCCACTGCTACTCACCATCCACAAATGAACAGTACACTCTGTTTAAATTGTTTAACGAAAGTAGACTAATTTTGAAAGTCTGACGTCAAATTTTGATCACATTTCATACAATTTCGTTTATTATACATGTTGATACCTGTTTCATAACTCTTATGATCAGACAAAATTTAAATAAAACAAGAGATATCCTTTTCTATATATAACCCCGTGTTAGGTTAATTCCGATTAATTTCTCTGAAGATGTTCGGAACAGATTGCCTAACGAAACGTTGGATTTAATCATTTCAGTATCTCTGAGATCTTGCAAATATAGTTCTCTACACATGAAATATACATATATGAAATAAACATATTGGATATGAAGTGAAACGACTCGTCAAGATGTGATTAGACTTACCTGATTCCACATGTGAGGTAATCACTACAAACAGGAATACGGAAACAGCCAGCATCACTGATTTACAACGCCCAATTTGAATTCTTATTATTGATGTGGAGTTTATTTCACACACATTCAGCTCTTATATACTTTCTGAAATCTGCTACTTCAACTATTTGTTAATGTGTTGAACATTATACGAATGTTAGTATTATGCATACGTAAAGTGATGTGCAATACTGATTTATCAATGCGTGTATGTCTGTGTGCATTTTTCGATAACTTTTTCACTTTATAGATTTGCTCTTTCAAAGTTTATGCATTTTTCATATATATTTTGATTGTGTTAATATGTGGAGTCCATTTTGATTGAGTGATGCAAACTGCACTGTCGTAGCTACAATATCACATGCGTCGATGACGAAGAGTTGTGACACGAGTTACCCACTGATAAGGAAGGAAATAAGGAATATTGATGCAAATTACATCCTCAGAAGAACTGAAACGCATTTCAATTTCTTGTCGAATGCTTATTTCTCATTGTAATGCATTTATTTGAGAACACATAATCATTTAAGTCGACTGTGTTTCGGAAGTTGGGATATTCAACCTACTCCTAAGATTACGGAGAAAAATTCATTTCAGCCAATCCGTCGTGGACTGTGAAACAATTTGCAACTGCATGAACACTGCACAGTGCATTACACTAAATCTGTGTTAACTTCATCCAACAGCTATATAATGATGGAAGATGTAAAGGGAATCACAACGGAAAATACAGCGAAACTTTCGAGGTGAAACCAGAGTAAGCCAAGGGTGGCTGACATCATCCATGAAATTTCTGATTTGTATGCATTGGATGGTGTGACAAATCATGGGGAGTGAGGATATAGGGGTTGTTTAGAGTGACAAGAAGACTCCAGGATATCTGAACTTTGTGGATCATTCGTATCCAATCTCACACTAAATCGGTGATCTACACATGGAAACCCACAATCAGGAGAAAGAGGAAGGCGGAGGAAGGATAATTTGAAGTGAGCGTGG